TTTGTCTTGTACACATGCTATTAAATATTATGAGTATAATTCACATCAACACATTTGAAAAAAAAAGCTAACATCAACACTATAGAATGCATACACAGCTATCATAAAAATAAAATAACATTGTGAAGTGACTTTAGTGTAGTGGCAGTTGTAAATTCACCAAAAACAGTCACGTTTTGAGAACAAAATGGAAAGACTAAAAAAAAGTCACAAAACAGACGGAAAAAGAATATAGTGACACCAAGTAAAAAGAACTGATCCACGGTGTGTATGTGAGTCTATGAAGCCCTTTTGGGCGGAAGAAACAGAGGAAATGAGTGTATATCTAGAGATTTTTTTGTTTTGAATTGAATGTAAAATTAATTCAAACAAAAAAAAAGTTTTTACAATAGATGTGATCTTTATCTAAAGTTCTGACCAGCGGTGGTCGGAAAAGTGATCCAAAATCGTCATCAAAGTAGAGAAACTAGGTCTCGAGGGATGGAGACACCTAATTAGTGTTTGAGAAGTGTTTAGAGAATGCTAAAGGAATGTAATCGAAAAAGGATCTTTGTCTCTCGTATGGGAGAAGAGTATTTATAGTGTTGCTTTAATTATTTCGTGAAGTGAAAGCTAGTTGTTTTATCTATCTATGCACAAGGTAAATATTTTAACCAGTTAATCAAAGAGAAGTTTGAATATATTCGAATATTTGGGATGTGTGTCAGGATTCCCGTCGGTGTTCACTTAGGCCTGGGCATAAAACTCGTTATTCGACTTGTATCCGGTACTCGTTACTCGGCAAAGTTCAAACAGCCCATTACATTGAACAAAAACTTGTTTTTTAAATGCTTATCTTTTGGAATTTTAATGTTTGAACTTTGAATGTTTTGTAATTGTATTAAGACAATTTTAAATTTAAGTACTTTCAAGTAACAAGTATATAATTTTAGCAAATAATAAGCCAAGTCAAGTTATTTGCAAGTAATAGGATTTTAGACGAGTACTTGATATAGCAAGTACTTATTTCGGATGAGTCAATTATCAAGCCGATATTTCTATTACTTGAACAAGTCAAGCCGAATCACAAATACTTGAAAATTAACGAGTACTCGGCCCGTCCAGCCCTACTCTCTACTCGTTTGACCATTTAGCTTAGTATTCAGTTTGTCCCCAGCACACCGTTTGAAAACAGATGGCCTTACCCGTTGAATTATTTGAACCATTATTGTTAGGACCCAAATGCCTTTAAGGCCTTTTTAAGAGACCAGCTATGTTAATGCGATAAAAGATTCACCTAAACTATCTACTTACGGCGTTAAGATTCGTCTAAATAAAGAGAATAAGTTTACTCCAAACATATAGGAGCCCTTATTCGTAGATTGACTTATGTGAAGTTTGTAGATTTTGAAAATTCTGAAATTTTATAAATTTTGATGGATTATCATTGATTCTTAAAAGATATTCCTAGGATTGTTATTGATTT